ATATTCGCTATAAAATGGGTAGGTTTAGGTTTGGGGGTAGGTTAAGGGGTCTAAAAATCTAAATCGCTTATTGATAAAATTATAAAAATGCATTGATATGAATATCTTAATAATATAAAAGATACGTAAATATTTGTACGGTTTTTTAGCTAAAAATACATAGCGATTTGTACGTTTTAAGCGTTGAAATATGTCTAAATTGTATGTTTTAGCATTAATAAAAACGTACATTTTGTGCTTGTAAATGTTACGTATTAAAACCTACGTATAAACAGGCTGCCCCCTCAGTATACTGGGGCGTTAGGACCCCCACAGAGCACAGGGTGAGCGCCCCCTGCTGGCCTCACTAACACCTCTTCCAGCAGCAACCTAGTTTCCCAGGAGGTCTCCCATCCGGGTACTGACCAGCTCAACCCTGCTTAGCTTCATTGGGCAACCAGTCTTGGGTTGCAGGGTGATATGACTGTGATAAAAGAGTATCACAATGCTGAAAAAGCTTTTTTTGTTTTACATGATTTGAAATCAAACTAATGGATAACTGTTGTGTTTGTGGCCTAAACAGCCGCGGATCAGTAGCGGACTGCAAACGCGTCCTGTGTGAAAGCACAATGAGTCCGTGCTGCTTCTGCACCGCATACGTAATGCACATGGACCGCATACGCACTGCAGACGGAGTATGTGTGAAACAGGTGTCACTCTCCAAGTGAGTCGAGCAGAATGTTTTTTTTTTTTTTTTGGATGGCTGTATTGCCTAGATAAAACGCACACACAAAAAATATCCAGACAACACAATTAGTACGCAGGAATATTATTGCAAATCTACATTTTTAGGGGAGAAGGGAAAACTCAAGGGGAACTGCTGTCTACCACAAATACTTACAACTAGAAACGCTCTCGGTTACTCGCGTAACCTCGGTTCTCTGGGATGAGGGAACGTGACATTGCTTTGGGAATTCCCCTTTCCTCCAAATACTACTGAAGCCTTATTGAATCACGCCAGTGAAACTGGCCAGTGGCGTCAAGCGCGCAAATTATGAGGGGCTCCCACTCTATATAAAGCAGTGCTTGTACGTCATCTACTCAGAATCTTGACTGAAGCAACTTGGCATTCTAAGATCCTGTAAGGCTGAGAAGGCGGGTGTGTTGCTTGCACTGACAGCACATGTAAGGCAAGCAACGACACATCTAGGTTATAAAACCTCGCGAAAGTGCTGGGTGACGACCAGCCTGCCGCCATGCAAATGTCCTGAATAGATGTCATTTGCACATGCCCACGAGGACGCGAGTCCGCGGGTTGAGTGAGCCCAAATCCCTATAGGACGTTCCATGCCCTTAGAGCCAATTGCGTCAACAATCCATTGTGACAGTCTTTGGAGGGCGCACAAAAGGCATGCCTGTGTCCAAGCACTTTAGGCACATAACCCTTCCTAGGCTTTATAAGGTGAGTCTGCAATCACCTGGCCCGAACTCAATACACGAGTCCTCAACTCACAGTGCCTGCAGGTCGCCAATTCTCTTAACAGAGGCCAGCGCGAGCAGGAGCACTGTCTTCGCCGTCTCCATGACACCGAAGGACACCACATCTTGAGCGTCGGGGGAGGGGTGGAGATCCGCGGTCATGAAGCGCACTGGAAGGGGACCTGCAGCAGGGGGGTGAGGAACGCGTGGGCACTGAGCTGGCGCAGGCTCGTCACCTAACCCTGACAGATCTGCACAGGGCTGTACAGTGCGACATGTATCCTGTATGCGACATACATTCACATCAGTGTTAACTCGGCAGTAGAGTTACACTTACGGGACACAGCACTTGTGCGCAATCACAAAAGTACATTATTTGCATCTGCTTTAAAGCCTTGCCGGTTAAACATTTAATTCATGTGTTGTTCTGACGTGCTTCTGAGCTCTTACACATGAAGCGCGTGCACACTTTCAAACAGTGCCTGATTACTAGACTAAGTTGTCTTTCACGTCTGATTGATTTCGAGTCTAATACTGTCAAAAGCACACAAGGTTTACATATAAACACAGTTATGTCTAAAATGATAGTAAACATGCGTGCAGCTCTTAAAGCGACAGTACTAAACATGCTGCCGCTTGTCATTAAAGGGATAGTTCACCCAAAAATTTAATTTGTTATTTACTCACTCACACGTAGTCCTAAACCTGTATTAATTTCTTTCTTGTGCTGAACACAAAAGAAGATATTTTGAAGAATGTGGGTAGCCAAACAGTTGCTGGTCCACATTGACTTTGACAGTAGGAAAAACTACTATGGAAGTCACTGTGGACCAGCAACTGTTTGGCTACCCACATTCTTCAAAATCATTTTTATGTTCAACAGAAGAAAGAAACTAATTCAGGTTTAAAACAACTTGAGAGCGAGTAAATGATGGTATAAAAATAAATCACTATGACAGAATTGACAGACAGATGACAGATTTTTCATTTTTGGGTAAACTATCCCTTTAATATTAATATAAAAAAAAAAACAGAAAAATCACTCACTGCTCATGACTGATGAACTTTAATACAGTTGCTTAAAATAAATAGGCTGATTGATGTATATAGTGTATATAGTGTTTTATTTTAATATATAATATTTAATGTTACTGCTAAATACTGTACCTAAAAAATAAAGCACATAAAGCACTATTTGCATATTATGTGTTATTGTAGTGTATATCTTTTGTTCTTATTTTCTAATAACAAAGATAACAAAGAGGAAGAGGAAGAGCGCGCGGCAGGGCGAGCTGCATGCATCAGTCCAAAAGAAGTGAAATAAAAAGCGCCCATCCATTGAAAAAAGTGTCTCACACGGCTCCGGGGGGTGAACAAAGGCCTCCTGTAGCGAATCGATGCGTTTTTGTAAGAAAAATA